AAATCAACAAATAAATAAGCTAATAAGTACATAAAATAATTTCAGGTAGTGCTAATATGAAGAAAAGTAAAGCGAAGTAAATAGAGTGGGGAAGGAAAGGTGAGGCTCTTTAGATAGATCAGGGCGATCTAACAAGAAATCACTTTTAAGTAGAGGATGAATAAAACAAAGTAACAATCCATATATCTGAGGGAAGAGTGTGACAGGCATATGCAAGAGCAAATGCAAGGATCCTAAAGAGACTTAGAAAGCACTTTAAGATGTTTGAATAAAGACAGGAAGATAAACCTAGGGGGAAAAAGAATCACTGGTTGCTGTGCTGAGAATAAACGGGAGGGGCAGAAGTGAACAGGAAGACCAATCCATAAAGTGTTGCATGTATTTCTAGACTTCTAATAAAGGATCTAAATATATTTTAATTCAAATTATAGAAAAAAGAAAAATGGAAAAATTAACTTTTAATTGAGAGAACTGAATATAAGGATATAGCAACAACAGACTCAACAAAATCCAATAAAACTTTTATTATTTTATTTAATGAAGTTTCAGTGAGGAAACACAAAATCATCACCAACAGAGGGCAGTAGTGAATACAGAACTTGAGTGCACAAAAGGCAATCTAGCTTCACAGTTAAGATCCTTGTCTAGAATTATAATAAACTGGAATTAAAGAACATAACCACAGGGTTAACAGCATGAGCAAGAAATAGGGAGTATGTGAACACATATCTACAAGAAGTTGAAAATATAAATTTAGGCCAAAAAAAGTAGATAAAAAATGGCAGAGCATTTATATAGGATGTCATCTCCCTAATTAAACACACTCTCAATTCACAGATTTCACTGCCTCTCAGGAGCTACCAAAAATAAAGCTAGAGTAAATGAATGGCCAGCTTCATTTATCTACAAGCAGATGAAAGATGTGCCCTTTTGTGATCAATAGGCAAAGCTACAGGGGGTCAATGTCCCAGACAAGTAGGACTGGAGAGCTTCATTCCAAATGGAAAACCCGCAACAGTACAAATGCCAGCAATCGGTACATTGTACCTAGTCACTCAATGTGAAGACTAGAAACACTGAATCTCGAGAAATACCTGTACCTGAAACACAGTCTATGAATGAATGCAGGCAGCTGGCAATAAGAAGGCTGCTAACATGTTTCCACTGCCTATTCCCTGCTGAGAGTTATATACATCCCTTTCTTCTGTTACTCCTACCACTATTGTCCCTCTTCATTTTCAATTTCTTCACAGAAATTAATTTTCTATAGATGACTGAAACGTGTGGCTGGCCACTAAATGACAACTGATGTACTACTCCATTTTTATCCTCAGTGCATTTCCCTTTGCTTAGACTTCTGCATTTCTTTTTCATTTTATTTTTTTAGACTCCTACATCTTTATTTAGTATTTTCTTCACTGCTTTTCTTCTAGCCTGCAGTTGAAATTCAAGATTGCTGAGACTCCACAAAGACAAAAGAAAAAAATGTCTTGACCTCCGCTGTGATCTATATGTAAAAATGTATACACCCTCCCCACCTCATATTCATGAGAATGGCTATTATCAACAAAATAAAAATAAAAAAAACAGAAAATATCAAGTGTTAGAGAGAGGAGTGAAGAAATTAGAACCTTTGTGCACTGTTCTTGGGAATATACTGTCAAACGGTACAGCCATTGTGGAAAACTGTATGATAGTTCCTCAAAAAATTAGAGTTACTACACGACCCCGCAATTCTACCTCTCGGTGTACTATCCCCAAAAGAATCGAAAGCCGTGTCTCAAAGAGATACCCGTACTCCTGTGTTCACAGCTGCATTATTCACCACAGATAAAATAAGAGAGCAACTCAAGGATCCAATGACAGATGAATGGATAAGCAAAGTGTGGTATATACATACAATGTAATATTTCCAGCCTTGAAAGGAAGGAATCTCTGACATATGCTACAACACAGATAAATCTTAAAGACATTATGCTGAGTGAAATAAGTCACAAAAAAGACAAATACTTTATGACTCCCCTTTATATGAAATATTTAGAATAGTCGAAATCGTAGAAACAGAAAGTATAATGGTGGTTGCCAGGGACTATGGGGTTGGGGGGAGTTATGGGAGTTACTGTTTAACAGGTATGAAGTTTCAGTTTTACAAGATAAAAAGAGTTAGAGATATGGCTCCCAGTGATGGATGCAAAACAGGATGAATGTATTTAATACCACTAAATTGTACACTTTAAAATGGTTAATTAATTTTGCTATGTATATTTTACCACAATTTTTTAAAAACTGAAAAATAAAAATGTATACTTTGCTTAAGAACAGGAATAAAAATTAGTAGAAATATAAGAATAGAAAGTTGTTTTATTTCTTGCCACCTCCAACAACAATACTACATATTGGGTACCACCATGCTATGGTCAAATTGGACTATTCACCATTTGCTGAATCTGCTCTACATTTTCCTGCTGCACCCTACTATTTTCTTAACCTAAAATACCCTATATTCTGCCTCTTACTTTAGTCTAAAATACTTTACACTTTCAAGGGCAGCAAAAATGGCATCTCTAAGAAACCTGCCAAAAAGAACTAATATCTCTCTTCTGACCACAGTAGCTTGCCCAGACCTCCACTTCCAAATACCACAGCATCCTTGAATAATGCTTTTTTGTGTTTGATCTCTTTTACTGCAGACAGACAATCTATCTGCACTCAAAGCCCTTTGGTTTTAAAATCATGTTTGTTGGAGGCTGTGTGAAAAATTGGAAGGATTAAGTACAAACAAGCAGTTACAAAAGTCATGGGGATGTAAAGCACAACATAGGGAATATAATCAATAATATTGTTAATAACTATGTATGGTGCCAGGTGGGTATGAGACTTATGGGGGTATGAGACTTATGAGACTTTATAAGTCATATAAATGTCTAATCTGAAACTAATAAAATACTGAATGTCAACTGTAATTGAAAAAAAATAAAATCACTTTTGCTTTTTAGATTGTAAGAGTTAGAGAGAGGTTTGCTCTTCAGTGTTGCTTATAAGATTAATGAAGATGGGAATTAGATGTCATGTAGAGCCTAAGTCAAACCATTAAAGGCTTTCTCCTGTAATACCTCCGACCAGCCCACCATGCAAAGGCTATGCTGCGAAGCACAGGCAAGTCTTCTGTTCTGCTCCCAACACCAAGAGACCCATGCCTGCTCTTCAAAGTAGAATCATTCAGAAACCTGAAGTATTCCATCCTCTGGTAGAGGATTGATAGATACCTGGATATTATTCAGCAATGTATTTAAAACAGGAGCCCTGGCTGGTGTGGCTCAGTGGACTGAGCATCAGCTTGTACTACAAAATGTCACCAGTTTGATTTCTGTTCAGGGCACATGCCTGGGTTGCAGGCACAGGTCCCCAGTTCGGGGTACACAAGAGGCAACAGGCAATTGATATTTCTCTTCCTCTTTTTCTCCCTACCTTCCTCTCTAAAAATAAATAAATTCTTAAAAGGAAATACAGGAGAGTTTCCAGGAAATTGCTTCTCTGGGTCTCCTGCAATTTTTACCTCAGAATCAAAAATATGGTCATCTAGAAAGAAGCAGCCCCCAATGTTTGCAGATCCTAAGACAATGCCTGCACATGTACTGTTCCTACTTCTTGGCCTGCAGTGCCTTGTGTTCACCTCCCCGTTGGCCTACCAAACACCTCAAAAAAACAAGTAACACATCCAATTCTCTAGGAACCTTTTCCGACCACTCAAAGAGTAAGATTTGATAAAAACAGAAGACATTCACTAGTGAATTATGATATCAACTCAAGTTACTTAGCATGTCTAGGGTCACACCTGAAATACTATTCCTTGTATTTCCATAGTACAATCCATTTACTTTTTGTGAAATAATTGATTTTTTCTGTATTCAAATCCTATAAGCAAAAGCAGTTTTAAAAAGAAAAACAACTGCTTTTTTTAAAGCATAAGTAGTTTTGAAACAAATAAGTGCAAAAGTATAGCAGATGAAATGCTAACACTGACTTTAATCTAAAGTGTGATTTTAGTCTTCCTAAGGCTGTTTCCTAATCTTTAAAATGAGTGTCCACCATATAAGGTTTTTGCAAAAAACAAATTAAATAAAACGTCTAATGTCTAGTACAGTTCCTAACACATAGGAGGCCCACAAAAATCGAAAATCCTTTTTACAGTCTTCTCTCTACACTCTGGTACTAGACGCATTCCTATGAATAGATCTGTCTAAACCAGTGTTGTCCAACATGGTGGCCACTGAGCTTTACAACTGGCCAGTCGGAACTGGTGTGCATCACATGTAAAATATATACCATACTTCAAAAGCTTGGTAAAAAAAAATATAAAAATATCTTACTAATACTGTGCACTGATTACATGTAAAGAGATAATACCAGGTCAGATAAAACATTAATATTAACTTCACATGTTTCTTTTCACTTTTTTAATGTTGCTACTAGAAAACTTAAAAGTATATGTTTAGCTCTCATTACATTTCTATCGGATAAGCTGGCTTATCCTTTGACTTCAAGCTGGTAAATATGTTCTCTTAACTACACACCGGACTACTTGGCGGTTTCAATCTGGCCAATGCACCCCTTACCCCGGTTCACTTTAACGCTCCCCACTTCCACGACACGGAGAAGTCTGACGACTTAATCGCTCCTAATTTTTAAAAGTGCAAAGTCCGCAGATCCTCCAAGGAAACTCGAAATTGTTACCTACACAACAATAGACTCGTATCTACGGAAACACCCAAAGCCCTCTCCTGGTCAGCACTGCTGGAGGCGCTGGGAGCTTGAGCAGAAAGGGGTCACCCTTAAGAAAGTGAGAACAGACGACGGAGCGGGCTCCCAAATTCTCCTAATGCAGAGCCCAAGGAGAAGAGGTCTAAGGGGAACAGCCTTTCAGCTTCTGGGGAAACAAGTCGGAGGGAGGCGGGTAAGGGTCTGGTCTCTGAGACAGAGGCTGTAGGGAGGAATGGTACCTTAAGAATCCCCCTCATCTTCGCCAGAAAGGGTCGGAACTCTTCCGGTGGCACCTCGGGATAGAGCTGGCTCCGCAGCAGCTCCTCGGTAATACCCGGGTGCCCGTGAAAGTCTTTCTGGGCCAGGCCGCTCAGCAACCCGCTCAGGAGCTTGCAACTATCAAGCTCGCCCGCCATTGTCACAGGAGGCCCCGCCCCCCAACAGCTGAGCACAAGACTCCACGGCAGCCCGGATGGCCCTAAATAGCCAGGGTAGAGGCCTGAGGCGAAAATGGGAGGGAAGTTGCAGCCGGGATGGATATTGCCAGCTATCAGGTTTGCTCTGCAAAACTCGACCCTTTGGCTGCCACCACTGAGCTATCCACTCAGTTCCAGATCACTTTGCTTCTGCTGATTTCCTTCATTACTCCAGGACCCACTCAAAGGAAGGAACATTTGGTGATCATTTGAGATGGAATAGCCTTCTATAAAAGTGGCAGTTTTAACTTTTGGACAGCTGCATCTCATTCCAGATTTTACCAATCCACCAGCTTAATAGGATCTACCGCTCAGATCTAATATCTGCCTAATCCTTACCTATCCATCTTCTGTCCAACAAAATATAAGTATCCCCTGATAACACAATGTGTTTGCTCGGATTGTTACTTGCCTTTTTATATACATGTAATTGTCTTTCCAAATAGATCAGTGACTCTGATCCAATGCTCCTTTCCATAACAAATATTTTGTCAACCCCTTTACCGTCCTGAAATGACATTCATAGATAATATAACTACCTACCCACATAATTTAAATAATTCATATTATTCACCCATAATAAAGAATGAGGTACAGATACATGCTACAACATGGATGAACCCTAAAAACATGCTAAGTAAAAGAAGGCACATGCAAAAGGGCAGCTATTATGTAATCCCATTTACACAAAAAGTCCAGAATGGGCAAGTCCATACAGAAGTAGATCGATGATTGCCAGAGACTGGAGAAAGGGTGAATGGAGATGATGGGTACCAGATTTCTTTTGCAGGGGTGATGCAAATGTTCTAGAATTTTAGGTAGTGATTATGATCGTGCAACTTTGTGAATATTCTAAAATCCACTGAATTGTACACTTAAGGATGAATTTCACAGTATGTGAATTATTTCTCAATTTAAAAATCAATATAATGACCTAACTATAATTTAGGATAAAATAATAGGAAACTAACTTATAATATAGGTATTTCAATGTGTGTCTGGGCACAACTACACTAGGTGACCAGGAGACATATGAAGTGGCCTGTTGCCTGCATGCTTAGGTAGAACCACCTGTGATTTCCACCAATGTAAATACAGGTGTGCTGTATTGGTGACTCCAGGGAGGGGAAGGTATAGAGATAGGTTGCTACTGGTAACATGTTGTTCTGAAATGGGAGTAAGGGTTGGTAAAGTACAGAATAAAAAAGATTCTTCCCTTTTACTGACATGTCCCCTAGAGCAAGGAATATAAAGGAAAGAATAAACAAATGGGATCTCATCAAAATTAAAAGCTTCTCCGTGGCTAAAGAAAACAGTATTAAATTAAAAAGACAACCAACTGTATGGGAAAACATATTTGCCAATGATACCTCAGACAAAGGTTTAATCTCCAAAACATATAAAGAACTTACACAACTCCACTCTAAGAAGACAACCAACCCAATTAAAAAATGGGAAAGGACTTGAACAGACACTTCTCCAAGGAGGACATACAGAATATCCAGAGACACATGAACAGATGCTCAATATCGTTAGCTATCAGAGAGATGCAAATTAAAACCACAATGAGATACCACTTTACACCGGTCAGGATGGCTATCATAAACAAAGCAACAAACAACAAACGTTGGAGAGGGTGTGGGGAAAAGGGGTCCTTAGTTCACTGTTGGTGGGATTGCAGACTGGTACAACCATTATGGAAAACAGTATGAAATTTTCTCAGAAAAATAAAAATCGACCTGCTTTTTGACCCAGCAATTCTACTGCTAGGATTATATCCTAAGAATCCTAAAACATCAATTTCAAAGAACCTATGCATCACAATGTTCATAGCAGCACAATTTACAATAGCCAAGAGTTGGAAGCAACCTAGGTGCCCATCAGTAAATGAATGGATCAAAAAATTGTGGTACATATACACAATGGAATTCTATGCAGCAGAGAGAAAGAAGGAGCTACTACACTTTGCAACAACATGGATGGAACTGGAAAGCATTATGCTGAGTGAAATAGGCCAGGCGTTGAAAGACAAATACCACATGATCTCACCTTTAACAGAATGCTAAACAACAAAACAAACAAGCAAGCAGAAAAAAAACCAAAGACACTGAAATAGAGAACAAGGGGACAGTGACCAGAGGGGAGAGGGAAGGGAATTTAAGGGGAAAAAGGGGGAGGGATTTGGAGGCACAAATAGGAAGGACACAGGGACGAGAAGTAAGGGGGGTGGAAATGGGAGGGAGGCGGGGAGCACGGGGTGGGGGAGGCTGGGATGGGAGAAATAGACAAAAAACTATACTTGAAAAATACCAAATAAAATCTAAAAAAAAAAAAAAGATTCTTCCCTCACTTTACCCAGTAATTGCAAACCAGGAATGCTCTGCTTATTTTAAAGCCATGCTAAAAATAACTGTATTTATATTTATGTTGCAGTTAGGTTTCAGTTCAAGCATTTTTTAAATGCTTGCATTGTTTCCTATTTTCTTGACAATCTTCTATAGGGGTTTCTGTCACTTCATCAATCTTTAAGAACTCTTTATACATTTGGAATATTAATGTTCATCATCTATATTTCAATATTTTCCCTGAACATATATGAGGTCTGTCTGCAAAAAGTCTAGCCATTGTTAGTATAATAATAACTGTTTTTGCAACATCAATGTAACCTGGCAGCCAAGGAGAGTGGACTGGAATGCACATGTGTGAACAGTGACAACTTCACTGCACTAGTTGGTGGGAGTGGTAGACGCCATTGAGTGAGCATGTGTACTATGTGACCATTGAATGCAAAATGACTGAGCAAGTAGAGCAATGAATCTGCATCAAATTTTGCATTAAGATTGAATATTCCTCCACTGAAACTATTCAGATGATTCAGAAGGCTTTGGAGATGATACAATGAATGAAGCTCAAATAAAAGCGTAGCACAAGCATTTCATAGATGGTCAAGAATCTGTTGAAAGGACTTGTGGGGAGGCCTTCCATGTTCTAGAAGGCCTGCAACAAGCAGAACACCTGAGAATGTTGGATATGTAAGGGCTGCAAACTAAGACCAGCAACTTACCACACAAGAACTAGAAGCTGACCTGGGGATTCCAAAAACTACTGTGTCCAAGATTTTGACACAGGATCTTAGCATGAAATGTGTCATGTCGAAATTCATTCTGTGGCTTCTGCTACCAGAGCAGGAGCAACATTGTGCTACAGTTGCTAATGACTTGATTCAAATTACTACCAATGAACCAGATTTCCTCAAGAAGATCTTAATCGGAGATGAATGGTGGGTCTATGGTTATGATCTGGAAACAGGCCCAGTCAGTTCAATGGAAGTCACCTGGTTCTCCATGCCTGAAGAAGGTGTGGCAAAGTTGCCGCAAAATCACAGCAAAATCAAGACCATATTCATTGTGTTTTTTGATTGAGAAGGTGTTGTCCATCACGAGTATACCCCTCCAGGCCAAACAATTAATAAGGAGTACTACCTCAATGTTCTGCCTCAGTTGAGACATGCAACACAAGGAAAAAGGCCACAGCTATGGGCAACTGGTGATTGGCAACTTTATCACAACGACATGCCCACTCATGCATCACATCTCCGCAAAGTTTTTTTTTCTTTTAATTGTGCTTTTTATTTTTATTTTAATAGTTGTTCTAGTACAGTTTTCTACCCTTTACCTCATACCAGCCCAGACCCCTAGCTCTCCCCACTTCCCTCCCATCCCCACCCCTCACCCTTGTTATTGTCCGTGTGTCCCCTATACTAGTTCTTTCAAACCTTTCCCTAGAAATTCCCTCCCCTCTCCCCTCTGGTCACCGTCAGCTTGTTCTCAATTTCAGTGTCTTCAGTTATATTTTGCTTGTGTGTTTGTTTTATTGATTAGATTCCTGTTTTTTAGAGAAACATCAAATCACCCAGATGACTCAGCCTCCCAGCAGCCCAGATTTGGTGCCCTGTGACTTCTGGCTTTTCCCAAAACTAAAATCACCTTTGAAAGGAAAGAGATTTCACACTGTCACTGAGATTCAGGAAAATACCATGGGAAAGTTCATGGCAATTCCAACAAAGGGTTTTGCAGAGTATTCTGAACAGTGGAAGAGACACTGGAAGAACTGTATGAAGTCCCAAAGTGCCTACTTTGAAGGGGATGGAGGTATCACTGCCCTCTGTACAATGTTTTTTGTATCTTTAATAAATATCTCAATTTTTCACAGTACGTGGCTGGATACTTTCTGGACAGAACTTGTATATGTGAATCTATCGACCTGCATAGTAAAAGTCTGGAAATTTATTTACCAAAATGGTTATAGAGTATCTCTCTGAGTAACTGAGGATGGTTTATATTTTCTTCTGTCTGGTTACCTAATTTTTCTAAACATCTGCAGTGTACATGTAATAGTGTTGTAAGAAAAAGTTATGTAATGAAAATACAAGTAGTTGTCCTAAAGTCAAACTTCTTTTAATGAAAAGCTTTAAAAGAACATGTGTTCTACATGACCAAGAAAAAAGCTATGCACCTTACATAATGTTTCTTAAACATATTTTTAAAGATTTTATTTATTTATTTTTAGAGAGAGCTAGTAGTGGGAGGCAGAGAAACATCAATGTGAGAGAGCAGTATCTATTGGTTGCCCCTCATAAGCACCCTGTCCAAGGGCCAAACCCATAACCCAGGCGTGTGTCCTGACCAAGAATCAAACTGGTGACCATTTGCTCTGTGGGATGATGCTCAACCAACTGAGCCACACCAGTCAGAGATTCTTAAATGTTACTGATAGCATTATATGCTTTCACAATTTCATAGAAACCTCAGATACTTCTGCCTCAAAATGCAAATATACACCAAATGTAGTTGCAACATCTAGGGGTTAATTTACTTTTCTGAAGTCTTTCTATAAACCTCCTAGTTTTTTACTTGCCCTAAGAAGTCCCTCTCGGCACTCCCAGTGCTAATT